TTGGTCGCGGAGGAAGCAGAGCGGGACGAGGACAGACCGCCGCCCAAGGCGGAGGAGGTAGAACTATACCTGCCCTCGTCACTGCCGACGGAGGAACGAAGCTCCGGATGTCTGCGTGGGCTGCCAGAGATGGAGGCCCGCCTGCGTGAGGCACAGTGCTGCGACGCTTTGGTGAAGCTGCGGGCGCTTTTACACTCAAAGGGGCACCTCATCATTTTCAGAAACGAGAATCTGACCGGGCAGGGCGCGACGACGAGGTCGCAGTCGCTTGTGGCGCGGGTCGGCGCCCGAGTAACACAGCACCACAAGAAGTACAACCAGGCAAGACGGGCGCTGCGTGCGCTGAAGGGCGGTACATACGCACCGCATCTGCGGAAGCTGCGCACGTCCGACCTGACGCTGGACGGCGAGGAAAAGGAGAGCGACACAGCATCAAGGCGGAAATTGGCGCGACTTGGCGCAGGAGCGCACGGCCGTGTATCACGCAACGCGCCGGCGGCGAACAAGCCACTGTCCTGGATCTGGATGGCGCCCGGGATCTCGGAGGCGAAGGAAAAGAACGTTCACGAAGGTGTGTTAGTTCTCGTCTTGATACTTGCTTCACACTCGTGCTAATCTACACCATGTAGCTCTGCGCGTCGAGTGGTCTAATGCGAAAGCCCGTAAAACTAGATGGGAAGAGGAGGTGAATCTACTCCGCGAGGAGATGAGGCGTGTTCTGCGTTACCTCAGCTGGGCTGCATCGTGGTGGGACGAGAGGGCGGACGTGCCCGTCGCTTGGGACGAGATCGCGGCACCGACACAGCACGGAAAGGCTGCGTATGCAGCTAAACAGGCGGCGACTTTCAGGGAATTGCGGGAGTTCTACCAGTGCGAGCTGAGCAAATCTGCTCAGGCGACAATCGACTCGGTCACAACAGCACAGCCAGAGAACATCGAGTCCGACCTCAACGATTTATTTGCTATCCGTGAGTGTCTCTATGTTTAGGAAGATTGCGTGCTCATTGACTGTATTCAGAAGAGGCCTCAGAGGATCAGGTGGTAGCTACTACAGTGACGTCGACTACGTAGATAGTAAATGCACAGTGATGTAGGAAGTATCGTGTCAAGCGAGGAGGTAAACGCAGCTAACTAGCTACGCAAGAGAACAGGGACGCAGGTGTGGAGGGCATTGGCGGAGAATGTGACGAGGAAGAATGAGCACCGCATCGACTGATGCGTCCCAAAGATGTCAGGAGACAGAAAAGGAAAGAGCGAGGCGGCCGCACCTATTCAGCGTGGGCGGGGCGGTAAGAGACTTCCCCACCGACGAGCCCATCAGCGGCGCGACACCAGAAGCGTTCCACGCCCTCCCCATCCGTTAAGGTGCCTCCGGCGGCGACGTATGCGCGGGTGTGGCGGTCGAGCAGGCTGCAGGTGTGGGTGTGGGCAGCTGTGTTGTAAAGGGGGCCCCCGGAAGGGATGGCAGAGACGGAAGGGTGGACGGGGTCGGCGGTAACGACGGTGTCTTGGGCGGTGTTGTCGTCCTGGCGGAGGGGCGACGTGGGCGGTGACATGGGCGGTGACGGGGACGACATCAGGTTTGGAAGTAAACAAGTAGCAACAATGGCGGGATGCCCAAGACCGAGTACGGCACACTGATTATCTCGTCAGTTGTGACCGCATTGGGTTTTTTTGAGAAGCGAGAATGATGGGAATGCATTGATGAACATATTTTGCATATAAGTGATTATTTAGCGGCTCGGAAAAAGCCGTGGGAGGGCGGCAATAGAGCACAGAGCACTGAAAATGGCAGGGGAAAGAACTCTGGCCAGGGGGTGGCTAGGTCCAGGTTTTTATCAAACGGTAATCCTGGCTGTGTCCAGGTCGTTATGCAAAATCCTACAACCACGGGTGGCTGCCGTCTCAGGGCCGATGCCGATGCCGTAGTCGATTTCGCGTAGTGGTTTTCCCATACAAAGCATTTTGATGATCCATGTGCCCGGGTTTCTCGTATCCATTCCCGCGTATATGTATAAAGTCCAAGGATACTGAGACTTTGTCTGTAGCCCTCCGCTTGTACGTTCATGGTTGATTACGCCCCTCCTCGTTCCGTTGCCCAACTAGCGCGTGTCCCTCAGGCCGTACGGCTTATGCTGGGTGTTTATTTGCTTAACGTGCCCGATATACGGTCCTTTTCCACCGAAGACGATCCGGTCCTGGCCTATTTCACCGCGGTGGTTGGGCCCTACGCCCTCCTTATTGACAAGGCCCTTCCTGGTCGCGCACGCGAGTCGAGTGACGTTCCTACGGAGACGAAAGTGTTCCTCCTTCCTCATGTAATGAATTTCGTGAAGTTCCTGGTACGCGCCGGCGTTTATTGGGATCGCCAATGTGCTGACTGAGACCATCTTTTGTCGACATAGGTGCTTGCCTACGTTGTCGCCCAGCGCGTTTCCGACGACCGTGGTTCTCCGCTTAGTTTCCCTCCCGAGTCCTGCGCCACTCTTGGTTTAGCCCGTAAATTTCACGCCCTCCTGGACCAGCCTTCATACGAGTTCCCAGAAGGACTCGAGCCCGACATCCTTCTCCTTCTCAACTTCATGGCAGAGTTTGCCGATCGCGCTGCTACCGGAACTCCCCGTCCCCGCGACGTTCCCGAGATACGGGGCTTGGAGCATATTCCGTGCGTCCCTAGCTGGACGACCGAGGATATCCGTATCCTCCAGGCCCAAGAAACTTGTATGCCCTGGGTCGGTGAATCGTATTGGCTGGCAGACCGCACTCAGGCGTTGCTTCGGGTTGGTAGGGACCTGGAACGCGCGTTGAATTGCCCAGAGCACGCTGCATGGTATCCGCCATCTCCCAAGGACGTGGATGGTATTGCTCCGTCCCCCCCGTTCCTCGCGCTACAGGCGCGTCCCGGTTCGTCTTGATATGGTAACTTTACCCGTACGACTCGTGTGTCGTGTAATTTTGCCATACGGAATTTTCTTTGCATCCTATAAAGCATTGGGGAGTCCGAATGACTGCTTCACTCTTCTGGAACCCTTGTTCCCGCGTTACATGACCATACCCGCGTTGAAAGTGGCGAACGTATATCTGTCCCATTTTCGTCCCTCAGTGGAGCCCACCGGTGAAAGTCGGATCGTGCAACGGCTAGACTCGCTTTGGTCGTCGCATATTCGTGGTCTGGCTCAGGCCATCCATGAAATTCTTCATGGGAGAGACGCTGCTCTCCTTCCCCCAGAGTTGCTTGGTATCTTGCGGATATCTGTTCAAGTGCTGATTTCGAATATGGTGCGTTCGAATGGTGTTCGTAATTCGTCTTCACGATTAGACCTTCGTAGGTGGTCCTTGGCGCAACACGGGTTAATGCCGGCGACAGTCTCGATCCCATCTCCAGCTACCATATCCCTCCCTTCGCCACCATGTGTTTCTTCATGGTCGAGAAGTTTGTGAATCTTGTCGGTTTCATCGGAGATGATGATGAAATGAGCCGCAACGACCTGTTCTCCACTATGGATATTTTCCTCCATGCCATGGTTACTCGGTCGGATTATAGTTCCGCCCCTGTCGATGCACCCGGCTATGAATCTGCATCCGCGGATCCATTCGAATACGGAGTTGGCCATCATACAAAATCTCTTCAAGCCCACGAAGTCAGGTCCAGCGGGCGTCTTGCACACCACTTTGGTCGCGCCCTTTCTCGATACGAGCCAGAGCTGGGGGCTTCGGGTTACCGGTTCCCTGTATGCCCTACCCAGTTCCGTATTGTTCGTCCTGCCGCGGATCGATTTGGCCCAGGCACCGGCCGTCTTTAGAGGGATTATTTCGCGTAGCGTTATCGATTCTCGTCGTACGGGACTTCTTCATCGGCTAGGTGTTATTTCTGATCCAGATAATCCCGTACCCTTGTTTTCTGGCATATAAAATCGCGGATATTGTCTTGAGCTGCGGCCTATTGGCCCATGTCGTTTTATACCATCGATGACGCCGTTCCCGACCTCAGCCAGCTTTCCTTGTCCAAAAGGCAGCTTTTGAGCGACTATATCATGCCTGAGCAAGGTGTTCCCGCGTTCTTCCGGGAAACCTTGCGGCCCTTCGTCCATCTTCTCCTGCGTGCCGCTACGCGGAACTTCTCGCATGTCCATTTCCTCCCGTGTTATTCCAAGAGCGAGCGTTACCTGCTATGTTCTTGGATTGAAATCTTGTTGTGGCATTTCGTATGGGAAATTCCATTTCACCGTCGGGCTGCCAGTCTGACCTTTTTCTGTAGCGCTTGGTTGTTCGAAGTGTCTCTCACCGGGCTGCCAGTCTTGCTCGAGGCGAGCTGACATGGGCGACCACAGATTTCCATATTCCTGGCGAGGCCTTCCACATGCTCCGGATCTCGGCGTATCTGTGCCAGTTTGTTGGATATACGACTGGTCGGGATTTCGTGGTGTCTCTTCGCCCCGACATCCTTATCCCTCTTCTTGAAGCCGCTGGGTCGGATATTCACTGGGCAGGCGCCAAGGGTGAATATCCAGAACATGACCCGTATGAATCTCTGTGTTACGCCGATCTGCTCTTGCATCCCGACTCCACTCGTGCACTGCTCAATGTTAACGGCAGCGGCGGTTCACCGCTTTCTGGTCTCATTGAGCCCTTGTTCCCTCCGCGTATGTCGTCCTTCTCGCACAGCGCCTGCTATGCTGATTTTTGTAACTTCGTTATCTTTTCCGTAGGCAATTATTCCGGCGCTCTTCCTCCGCCGATCGTGCCCATACCGAACGACGAACTTGACAGAATTGTCAGTTCTATGGCTCGGTATCATTGATTCTTTCGTTAGAATCCTGTGGGCATTTGGCCTAGGTGAATCCGCCGCGTTCGTCCGAAAAAGGAGATTTCCCTTCCCGTTGTGAGCTATCACTTTGTGATCGCTCCCGCGGAGGCAAGAAAACACCTAAAACAATCAAATTCCTCCATACTACGAACAAGCGCTATCAACCGGCCAAAAACATCTCTCACGAGCAAACAGGCCTGACCTTGAGTCGAACAAGGACCCTCCGCCATACGAGGATCGTATTAGGCAGCGCACTACCAGCTACACCACCAGGCCAATGATAAAAAAGAAGCATACCTACCGCGAGGGTTGAACTCGCAAACCTCCAGATTAAATGTCTGGCGCTCTTTCCAGTTGAGCTAGGCAGGGGACACCAAGGAAACATCCATACGAACACACACACGCTAGCACGGGACTCAATACGGGAATTCAGGACAGATTATCCATACGCAACAAACCACAAAAGACGGACCACGGACAATTCCCATACACCGAAAAGTCAAGTAAAAACCGAAGGCGATACACGTGGGGCAATTACCGTACACCCAGGGACCGAGTTAAACCGAGGCAATGCGGAGGAACAACTATGAACTTACGGGTGAGAGAATTTGGGTACGGAAAACAAGGGGGAACAACTATGAACTTACGGGTGAGAGAATCTGGGCACGGAAAGAGGGTGTAGCGCGTGTAGCAGGGGTCGTGACGGGCACGAGGAGGATAAGCGAACGAGGCAGTGTAGGACGGGGGAAAACAGTATAAATACGAGGCATGTAGTAGAGCAAGATCACTTCACTTCTTAGCTAAAAACCCCCGGGTCAACAAGTCCCCTCCTACAAGGACTTGTCCCCCACTGCTCATCACCACACTCTATTGGACATTAACTTGCCCTCTACAAGCCAGCTCATAGGCCAGAGTCCCGTATCATAAGAAAGACGGTCTCCTTGACTTACGTCTTGGATATCCCGTACGTTACACGGAAGCTTCGCAAAGTAACAGCACAACGTCCTCCCCGAGCCTTGACACGCCGTACCCAGCCACATTGGCAGGAGAACAACGACCCCATATAATTATCGACATAAAGAGAGAGAGAGAGGCAGAGAGAGAAGGATATTGAAGGAAACATCTATAATTCCCATACACCACACACACCACACACACACCTTTCACGCTTGCCTTAGCTGGGCAAAGTCTCATAACCAGCCACACCAATATTCCCCCCGCTTGGCTGAACACTTTCTGGTCGTCCGATACATACACTCGGCGCACGTAGAAAACGCAGCAAACATCACAACTGGTACCTACCGCGAGGGGGAATTTAACCGCTGGAGACTCGTCACCAGCGCAGAGGAAGACAGGCTCCACCACTCGAACCAGTCCGGTTACCATCCCCTACTCGAAGAAGAAGGACGAGTAAACCAGATCGCTCCTTACAACAGGAAATTCATCTCATAGAACACGCTCCCGAAGCGAGTTCAAGTACTACCTCCATAGACCTTCAGGAGTCCGAACTTTCGGACCTTACCGAGATTTTATCAGACCAGGAAGAAACCGAGGACACATTTCCGTACTCCACCGATTCCCCTACGGAACCATCTTCCCTCACTCTTTCATCCGAACCATTGCAGGACCGCTTATCGACGGATCAAGAACCCCAGCCGCAGATTCCCCACATTCCCCGCATTATGGCACCTAAAACATTGCCGATGCGCGGCAGTAAATCTGCTCCGTCGTTCGATGGGAAACCAGGGCATCTGCTCAGGTACCTACGGGACGTACAGGAAACAGGAGAGGATACGGAAAGGACTACCGACGATGAATTAATTGACATCGCACTCCGGTATCTCAACATTGATGATGAAGAACTATGGAAGCGAAAGCGTACGGCAATCATGACGTTCGACCAGTTCAAAAAGGAAATTATGAAGCTTTATCCCGGATCCAACGGGGATAAACTATACGCTTGGTCGGACCTTAGAGAGGTCGTGAGGAAAGGGCAGGAAAAACCGCCGTCCAATGAAGACGACTTTGGGGAATATCAGCGAAACTTCACAAGAATCGCGGACTTCCTGAACGGACAAGATCTCGGAGACGGAAAGAGATGAACAGTTCATGAGGGGAATACATGCGGACTTTAGGTTCAGGGTCCTGCAGCGCCTACAAATCATGAAACCCGGCCAGGCAAGCGACACCCCGTACGGAATCGAGGACATTATCGAAGCCGCAGAATGGGCGATCGACGGGACACCCGGTCAATTCTACCAGGATACGGAGGAAGACACCACGGTGATAAAGAAGGAGATGGTGGAAATGACGGCTTCCATGCGGGAAATGCGAACGGCGTTAGCTGGGCTCACCAGACAAGTCGATTTCCCCCGACAGCGGCAACCCGAGCCCCGTGCGGCATATCAAAACCAGCAGCAGGACCGGGGTCCGTATCTCCGTAACCAGGAACAAGGGCGTTGGAATACGGAAAACCCGAGACCCCTGGCGCCGCAAGGACAGGCCTACCGAGAAGCACAAGTTCCTATGGACAACAACCAAACGCGCGGGCCAGGAGGGGCGTTTGAAGAAGGTAAATGCGGATTCTGCTCGAATGACGGGCACTACATGCGCGAGTGCCCGAAAATAGAGGAATATATACAGAAAGGTATGTGCAAGAGGAATCAAGCAAACAAGATCGTACTCCCGAACGGATATTTTCTTCCCCGTGCGATTACGGGGCGTAACTTCATTGAACGAATCGACAAGTGGCACAAAATGCAGGGTCCGGAGACTCCCCTGGCTACGGTGAGACGGCCCGAGAACAACTAGGCCCAACATCAAGCTATTTTGCGATTTCTTCGGTATAAGTCATGCCTAGGAGGTCCAAGGTGCTTACCTAGGCCAGTTTTAGACATGCCTAGGGACCCAGTTCGGTGATACAAAGGAGAGCCAGAGTGAGCTCCGGCTGCTGGCTGTAGTATTTCACGCTTGTACATACAAGTTCAAGCGGAATACACTATCAAGGAGATATACCCAAAAGCCCAGACCTTCAATACGGATATATGACTACCAGGAGAACCAACGACTGCACAGATAACATCCTAGGGCATTTGACGAATGCTAGGCGCCAGAATTGTCGGCCCAGAGTTGTCTCTAGTAATGTCGTTATAACACCTAGGGATGATTCATTAATGGGAAAGCTGCTACTCTGAAGGCTAGGGGCCTTCAGGGACTGTTTGGAACAAGTTAGAACACTTGAATTCGAGTTTGGCATGGTTCTAGAGAGCTAGATCAAGAATGTTGATGTGCCTAGGCACGGAGTTCCAATTTACTAGTGAAGGATCAGAACGGATCATAGGCAATCATCCCGGCAGCATGGCTTGATGATTTGCCTCGGCATTCGTTCAGATGTTGAGTTGGCTTGCCAGAATCATGAGGAATCATTCGGCATGAGTACATGTGATTTTACAATGACTCAGTGGCCGGAGTGCCCGAGCCTTGTGATTCTGAGGATGAGAAAGCACCTCGGGATTGCCCGAGTTGGACAGAGAGATGATAAAGCACCTAGGTCTTTTCATAAATGACCTCGGGATTGATGCATATCAGAAGAATGAACCTCGGGGTTGCCTTAATTGGCCAGAATGACGAAGAATTGCCTCGCTCCTTTAGAAATGACTCCCACTTATCCCCGTTTTCCTGTTTACATAATGTCCCTGCCTGTACAGTATAAATACCCAGTAGAAACTCGAAGTAGGCGAGTTCATTTCGCCCCCAGTTGCTCTCCTTCATTGGTGGAGTGCTGGTTGGTGTGGGGTGTTCTCAGGTCAGCTTCGCAAGGATAGTTCTGTCTTTGTTTGTAGTCTGCTCTTTAAAGTAGACGTTGATTGTTGCTCTGGAAAAGATTGAGTCGGAATTAAGCTCTAGCATTGTCTGTCCTGTTCAAAGGCATTCATGCACCATTGAGTCGCTGTAGCACTGGTCTAAGCTCCAAGAGAGTTGCCGTTGGGTTCTGAATACTAGACGTATTGCCTTGCCCCCCGGATCTTTTCTGTTGTCTTTTTCATTGGTTGCAGGGCTCCACCCCAAAAAGCGCTGTATAGAATCGTCTTCAGTGCTAGTCCCTTAAAAAGAGCTGTGTTAAACGTTGGCTGTAGACTCGAGATTGGGAGTGTCATGGTCCTCGCGTCTATTCTGACTAGGCGGATACAACCCGTGAACTCATCCAGCTGCTCTGGCAGGACGGACGAATAGGAACCTTTTAGTTGGACACTTGTTGCTGGCAACCTCGAATTGAGCAGTCTTTGCGGAGCCCCAGATCAGGTAGTTGGCTATCAGGAAGTGTTCAAAGCATGGATAGAATAAAACCTACAAAAACATATGGTTCATTGAGGTGTTGAAGTCATGTTCAGTTAGCTTTGCCTACTGATGTCTATAGAGAATGAATATTCGTCGTCGCTGTTGAAATGATGTACAAACCTTTGAGATTCTTGGCTTTGCTGTCCGCATACTACGGATCGGACCCCGAACTGCAACTTTGATGACTGCGCTATAGTAATAAGGGTGTGTGTGTGTTTGTGGTGTGTTTGTGGTTTGGTTTGTGGTTGGGTTTCGGTGGTTCATTTCACTAGCCATTCACATTCGCTCGCATATCCTATGGTCAAGCGCAATGTTACAACGGCAAACATGTATGAACGGGAACGACCGCCTCATATGCTTTACATGGCCTCCACCGTATCCGACACGGATGAAATCGAGGAAACAACCAGTACGGAAACATACGCCTACCAGGAACCTGGGGACCTGTCACTACGGGAACTCTCGAACGACGAAATCGAGATCTACCTGGAGACACGGAAAAAGGCTGAAGGAAGGGGAAAGGCAAAGGAGGTTTTCGACAGCGTCCAGATGCCGCCGCGTCCACCACCCACTGGGAGACGTAAAGTGGGATTTGCGCAACCAGAAGTAGAAGGGACGGCGGGCAGACTACCTAAAGCGTCGACCACCCCACCCGCTACTACCCAAAAACCAGTATCCACCCCGCCTACGGGCGCCCCAACTCCGTTCAACGGCCCCAAAATATTCGTACCAAAGTACCGTGCTGCGATAGAGGATTCGGTGATCACAGCCGAGATGGTCGACCGGGCCCTGGATAATAAATTCATGATATCCACACGGGAATTCTTCGCCGTCTGCGCCGATGGGCGAAAATACATGAAGGACCTTCTGATATCAAAGAAGTTGCCAAACGTGGAAGTCGCGTATACGGACGCCGGATTCGGGCAGCCCTCCGAGCC